GCAGGGCCGCGTGAAAGAACCGGGGCGGGGCCGCGTCAGAGCCGGCGGCAGGGGCCTCGTGAGAGCAGGGGCGGGGCCGCTTCAGAGCTGGCGGCAGGGCCGCAAGAGAGCCGGCGGCGGGGCCGAAAGAGAGCCGGGGCGGGGGCCGCAAGAGAGCCGGCGGCGGGGCCGTAAGAGAGCCGGGGCGGGGGGCCGCAAGAGAGCCGGCGGCGGGGCCGTAAGAGAGCCGGGGCGGGGGCCGCAAGAGAGCCGGCGGCGGGGCCGCAAGAGAGCCGGCGACAGGGGGCCGCGTCAGGGCCGGCGGCGGGCCGTAAGAGAGCCGGGGCGGGGGCCGCAAGAGTGCCGGCGGCGGGGCCGCAAGAGAGCCGGCGGCGGGGCCGCGTGAGAGCCGGGGCGGGGCCGCGTCAGGGCCGGCGGCGAGGCCGAGAGAGGGCCGAGGCGGGGCCGCGATCAGGAGGCGGCGGCGGGGCCGCGTCAGAGCCGGCGGCGGGGCCGCGTCAGGGCCAGCGGCGGGCCGCGATCAGAGGGCGGCGGGGCCGCGTCAGAGCCGGCGGCGGGGCCGCGTCAGAGCCGGCGGCGGGGCCGCGATCAGCGGGCGGCGGGGCCGCGTCAGAGGAGGCGGCGGAGCCGCTGCAGAGGAGGCGGCGGGGCCGCGTCAAGCAGGGGTGGCGCGGCCGCGTCAGAGGGACAGCGGGGCCGCGAGAGGAATGGCGACCCGAAGGGTCGCGAAAAAAAAATGCGCGCCTCGGGGCGCGCTTCGGTGGGCCCTAAAAAAACGGTCCTTAGGAAGGACCCGCTCTATACCATGTGAAAGATAAGAGAACAGGAATGAATGAACTAGCAGTGAAATGAGTACAAGTAGGAAACCCTAGAATTGTGTACCCCCTATAGGCTAACCCACTGTAGCCTACACAAGCATAACATGTATAATGTTTGTCAACACCTACCCTGCCCCCGCCTGATTTACAGCCGGAACGCGACCCCTGGGACACCATTGACTGGGGCAATGAGCCATCCACACCGCGCCGCACCGTCTACGGTCCTGCTCCCGAACCGCGCAAGCCAACCTTAGTGCTCGGAACGATCCCAGGGACCAACATCCCTTACTCAATCATCCGCGACAGAGAATTTCCCGCCCTCATGCTAACGACGGCAAACGAGGAAGAAGAAGAGAACGAGGGAGCAGCGCCTATACCTGCACCAGCATCTGACGAAGACCCCGTAGAAGCACTTGCACGCTACATGCGCACCTCCGGATTCCGCGCCGACGATACCATCTGGCACCATCGCCTGGGTCACCCTTCGCGCGTGACCCTGAAGAACTGCATCGAGGCCGGTGTCTTCGCACCTAGCACACTGCTGCGCCCTGACGGCTCCGAAGTAAGAGGCGGAACTCACCCGCGCACCTGCACCATCTGCCCCGAAGCTGCGCTAAGTCACCAGCCCTTCCTCCTGCTCGAGCTAGGAACCAATCGCTACGCCAAATTGGAGAAAGTTTACAGTGACTTTCTCAACGTAGGACACTGCGGCATCAACAATGAGCTCTACACACTCACCTTCGTCAACGCCGGAACACGCCACGCGTGGGTCGTAAACGTGGAATCGCGCAGCAGAGCCTACGAAGCATTCTGCCTGTGGCTGGCGCACGCGCAGCGGCAATCTGGGGAAAAAATGAAGATCTGGCAGTCCGACGGCGTGGCAGAATTCAGGAGCAAGGAGCTGCAAGACTCTTACGCAAAAGGGGATTGAGCACCACATCTCTCTCCCCTACGCGCACCAACAGCAGGGCGTACCAGAGCGCACGAATCACACCTTCATGACGAAGGTGCGGGCGCTAATGTGGCAGTCAAAGCTCCCGCCAATCTACTGGACCTACGCGATGCACCACGCCGTGCGGGTGCACAACCTGCTGTCAACCACTGCGATCACCGGGAATTCCTCGCCGCATGTGAAATGGACGGGAAGAAAGGGGGACACTTCCATGCTCCGCGTATGGGGGTGCATGGTTCAATACCGATCGCCAACATCAGCCATCGGGAAATTTAAGAGCCGCACGCGCTGGGGAATCCACCTCGCCATCAGTCACGAACACAAAGCATGGATCATCCTGGATCTCCTGAGCCAGAAAATCACGAATGCGCGCGACGTCATCTTCTACGAGCGGCTCTTCCTGCGGCAATTCCGTGACGACGAGTAAACGAACGCCAATCGCGTCTACGCCAACGAAGGGCACAGTTACACCTCACCCGAGGACGAAGCCGCAGCAGCAATTCTGGAGCAGGATCCTAGAGGCGAGTTCACGAGAGGCGATCGCCACGACGACGACGACGATGATTCGGAAGAAGGAGGAGCGGGCGCAACAGGAGGCGCAACAGGAGGCGCAACAGGAGGCGCAATAGGAGGCACAACAGGAGGTGCAATAGGAGGCGCAACAGGAGGCGCAGCACCACCAGCGCCACCCAAACCAGAAAGCGATGATGACGACGTGCAGAAAGTCGTCACTCAACACCGCCACAACATTACCGTCACTGGCCTTCAGCTTCTGGGACTTCACGCTGCCATCTCCACAACTCCGCGCATCATGGAGCCTAAAAACCCATGGCAAGCTCTCACGAGACCTCACAGCAAGGAGTGGCGCGAAGCAATGGATGCGGAAATTCGGGCACTCGAGTCACGCGACACCTGGGTGCTCGTCGACCGTGCAGCAGTAAAGGGGAGAAGAATCCTCTCCGGCAAGTGGGTCTTCCGCGTGAAGACAGGAGCTGACGGGACGATTGAGCGATTCAAGGCACGTTGGGTGGTGCGAGGCTACGATCAGAGGCATGGGATCGACTTCGACCAAACGTTCGCACCGGTTAGCCGTCACACGTCCGTTATAATTCTCCTCGCCATCGCAGCCGCATCACACCTGCCGCTACGACAGATTGATGTGAAGAACGTGTTCCTGTACGCGTCAGTAGATGCAGTGATCTACGTAGAGCAGCCTCACACATACGGTGACGGGGACCCACGTGTCTGTCAGCTACGCAAGTCCCTGCATGGGATTAAACAGGCGCCGAGACTCTGGCAGCAGTACCTGCACAACATACTGCTTGAAATCGGATTCAAGCAGTTGCCTCACGACCCTGGGATGTATCGCCGCGATTTCCGCGGCGAATACATCCTACTCACGGTCTACGTCGACGACCTTCTCTACACAGGGTCGAGCAACGAATTGCTTGAGCAATTTGAGAAGAGTCTTGCAGCGCGCGTCGACATCACCTGCAATCATGACGTGAAGCAGTTTCTTGGGCTCAACATCACCTACTCACCGGAAGCCATTCATCTCTCGGCAGCGAAGTACGCAGAGGAGCTAAGCAAGCGCTTCAACATTTCACCTGCACCACTCTCCACCCCTTACCGCACTCTAGGACCCAACCACAAACCTGACAACAAAACCCTGTCCCCTGCTGGACTTCACACCTACCAGCAGCAGCTGGGTTGCCTGCTCTTTGCATCTGTTACCTGCAGGCCCGACCTTTCCTACATCGCGAGCCAGTTGGCTCAGTACTCACGGAAACCAACGGCGGAGAACCTCTCAGATCTTCAGTGAGCCCTCCAATTCTTCATCTCTACGCCCAATGTTGGGCTCTACTACTCCACCATCCCAACCGCATCCTTTAGTCTCGTCGGCTACGTGGATGCAGATCATGCCGCTGATCCCGACAATCGACGGTCCAGGACAGGCTTCCTCTTTCGCCTCGAGCCCAGTGGCCCCATCTCCTGGAACTCTCAGAAGCAGGAGCTGGTTGCCCTGTTATCAGCGGAAGCCGAGTTCATCGCAGCAACAGCAGCCGTTCGCGAAGGCCTCTACCTTCGGGAGCTACTGCAGGAGGCGAAAATCCATGCCTCAGCGAACTTTCGCCTGCACTGCGACAACCAAAGCGCGATCCAAATTGCGAACAAACCCGGATTCGTTAACCGCACCAAACACATCGCGCTGCGGTACTTCTTCGTCAAAGACAAAGTTGACAAGGGCAAGGTTGATCTGGTCTACTGCCCGACGGGTGACATGGCAGCAGACTCCCTCACGAAGAAACTGCCGCGTCAGCAGTACCAGCACTGCTCCGAACTCAGTGGGGTAGTCAAACGGGTCAATACCTGCTACGGCCAGGAGTGAAGGGGGGTGTTACGAATAGTGATTACTGAAATACTATTGTACACTCCTCACCGCAGCAAACGCAGCATGCACTACCGAGACTGAAGACGAAAAAGGTGCAAGTGACGCGAAGGGTCACACGGTTACGAGAAGCATCTGGACCGTCGGGTAGACAGCATCAGGCAGCAGCAGTGGAGAGGACTCTGCCCGAACGGTTTCGTAACCACCCGGAGTCGCACAGTTAGATTTCAATGCAATAAGGGAATATACCCCTTAGAGTACATGGCTAGCTAGGTCGCTTCGAATTCCCCTGTACTCTTATTTATATTCCTTGTACTGCATGTTTTCATCATCTCAAGCATTTACATTCACTCTGCTATTGAGGTCAAGGGCCCACCACCACAACCCAGTAGTGTGCGAACCTTCCTGAGGTGATCCTGGTTACGATCAACTTCTGATCGCAACAACTTTGGCGTGTGTTAGCACACCAGTTTTATTTTTCATGCGTCACTCTTTAGTATTTGTATATCCAGACGATCTGTAGGCTAACAGCTACGTAGATGTGTATCGAGTTAGTTCATTACACGCAACAGCGATTCCACAAGCGACAATCGGGTGGCAACCACCAGCTCCAGGCAGGGAGCCCAAGGCTCTAGTTTTCCAGTTTCTCCCCCTCCTCCCGCTTCCCAAACCCAATTCCCCTCCCCAACTGCACTCCGCCTTCCGTTTCCCGCGAATCCCCGCTGCCCCGTCCCCCCACCCAGCAGGCACAACCCTACCTCTCAAATCCTGCTCGTTACCTATCTCTGGTTCTTTTCCTCCCCGTTAGTCTCCACACACCTGCCACACCGCTTCAGCCGCCATGGTGAGTGCTCCTTAGTAGCAGCTATGGCGTTGGTTGGGCGATCGCGCGTAGTTAGGGCTTGTAGCGGAGGGGCTAGCATCGTAGAGGGTCGGTACGCAGGGATTTACTGCGGTGATGGAACGATTGGTTGGACGAAGCAGGATTAGGGTTGCACAGATCTGGCTATCTTGCCGTTTTCACCAGAAAGGGCTCGGCGTAGGAACGATTTGTTGCCGTCGTCAGGCGCGCCCGCGTCGCGGTTGGAGTGAATATATTGCTCAGAATTACCAGTCAGAAACGGAGGAGGGGGCCGGTACGGTGCCGTTGTTTTTTTTTTTAGTTCGCATTGGCTTCTGACTTCGAAGATATTTTAGAAGGAGCCGTCAGGGCGACATTGTCTGACATCGACTTCATTCAAAGTTGGTTAGCAGGGTCCGTTAGGGTTTCCGAGCGCCAGACGCTTTGGAAAGCCTGTTTTTATTCTTGTCGGGAGCCTGATCGCAGGGCAGATACGAGTATGAACGCGCACACGACTCAGGACTCTATTCGCTTTACACCGAACTGCGTAGGGGTGGCAGTTTCGATTTTGTAGTTTCTGTATAGTTCGGTGGCACTCTCATTTAAGTAGGAGTTGGACGAACAGGTGCTGTTGACGGGTGGGTTCCGTATGGTGTAGTATGCCGTTGTCTTTGGGGGGGGCACTCTTTTTTGGGTTCAACGCCATGTGTGAAGTTCGCGTAGAAATGATCTTAGCGTACTCTCGGGGGCAAGAGTCGACGCGCAAAGGATACGCTGGCGCGGTTGAACTGAGCATTAGGGTTGCGACTCATGTATTCAGGTCTTCTCACGATTTTTTTAGAGTTCAAGGCGCTAATCTCGGCTTGATTCGTGGCCCTTAGGGCAAGTCGTACCGCATGATTCGTCGGGAATTGTGTACATTTCGTCGTTGTACCCTTTTCTAAGCGCCGCAAATTCGTCTGCGTATCTTGCATTGTGCCTATCCATGACGCACTGTGCACCATGACCGTCCCGCTCTTCACCTGTTCATCCCTTGCTTCTCCCTTTCAGTTTTTCTCCCTCATCACTATCGTATCCCCTGCCTTACCTGGCCCACGCTATACTCTCCCCTCCTCATCTCCTCGCTTCCTGCCCTCCTTACCTTTGTCCTCCCCACCTGTCAACCCTATCGTTCTCTTGCAAATTTATCTCCTTACCCATCCTACTCCAACGTTGCTGAGTGCAGGGAAAGGGAACGGGTAGTTTCGGTAAGCGCCGCAACAAGACGCACACGCTGTGCCGGCGCTGCGGTCGTCGCTCATACCACATTCAGAAGAGCCGATGCGGTGCCTGCGGCTACCCCGCTGCGCGTGTGCGCAAGTGTAAGTCCCGCTAGTCCTCCCACCTTTCGTTCCCTCCCGCCCTTTTTCCCCTTCCACCTTTTTTAGTACCTAAGTTCTCTTTACTGAATCTTGCCTCTCACTTCGTCTCCCTCCCCAGGTCCCCTTTCCAGGTTTCCGATCTCCTGTTCATAACTCGTTAATCCATTCCCCCCCTTGCCCGCTTCTATCCTTCCCAGTTTTTCCTCCGTCCGGCGTCCTCCCTTTCCTCCTCGTGTTTCCCCACTTCCTCTCTCTTTCTCCTTCCCCCGCTCATCCGTCCCTCGCGGCTGTTTGCTGCCATTATCCTCATTCGCCCCCCCTGGCATCTCCACTCCCCTGCGTCCATTCTCCCCTGTCCTCCTTGCTTCGATCCCCGTCTCCATGTCGCATGCGTCAGTTGCTTCACCATCTCACTAAGCTTCCTCGATTCTTTCCTCGCGCTCTCAACCACTCCCCACCACCTCCCCGCTCTTCCTCCCCCTCCGTCCTTTCCACCACCTCCCCCTCCTTCCATTCCTCCTCCTCCCCTCCCCCTCTCCCCCCCCCCCCTCACCCCGGCGCCTCTTTTCCACCTCCTTCCCCCCTCCCCTTCGTCGCCCCCCTTGGCGCAGTCAACTGGAGCGTGAAGGCTATTCGGCGCACGACCACGGGCACGGGCCGCATCAAATGCCGTAGTCTTAACTGAGCGTCTCCATCTCACTCACCGCTCCGCCCCCTTCCGTCCCCTTCCCCCCGCATTCCCCAACTGCGCAGTCAACTGGAGCGTGAAGGCGATCCGGCGCAAGACCACGGGCACGGGCCGCATGCGGTACCTCAAGGACATGCCCCGCCGCTTCAAGAATGGATTCCGTGAAGGTGGGTTTTTTTTAGGAAAACCTGAAGGAATTAGGGTTCGAGGCGTCCGAAAACTAGTACCTCCAGGACATGCACAGCCGCCGCAACAAGGGATTCCGTGAAGGTGAGCGGATGACGGGAATCGGCGGGAATTTGGTATGGCGAATTTGGTGGTGTATGGTTCTGGGAATGTCAAGAGTTAGGGAATTTCACGGGAAGTTCAAGGTAAAAAAACAAGTAAACACAGTGAATGTGCTAACGGAATGTGTCTGTGGTTTGTGCGTGGATACGGATATGGACATGGGCATGGGCATGGAGATCAGAGGTTTCATGTCTCACACGCATATTGAGTCGAAGCATGTGACGCCTGCCTGTTTAGTTCGTAACGAATCTGCCTGTGTCTCCTTAGCTTGCCTTCCCACGAAATGACTCGAGTTTTGTCCCCCCACACCGCAATTTCTTATGCCTGACTCACAGGAACACAAGCACCTCCTCGCAACCGGGTTGCGGCCTCCTCTTAAAGCCCCAAGCACCGTCGGCATGAGCATGAGCCTGGGATGTGAAGTCTGCAGCAAGCAGGAGCAGGGCTGATGCTGGTGCATGCTCAGGAACACAGGCGTGCTCACTTGAAAGTTGTTGCTGTGCAATGTGCCCAGTCCACTCTGCATGTGCAAGGTTACCAGTCAACCCCCCTGTGGCGAGGGCGCTGTAGGGTTATATGGAGGTGGTTTTTGTGCTGGATGGATGTAATGCAAGTTTTGTGAAAATAGCTTCCAAATTCAAATGGTGCCCCTATGGTGTTGATGTTGTAGTTCAGCATGAAGTATGCACCATACAACAGAAAGCGAGGTTATGGCATATTGAGAGTGTCATTGGGAGGGATGGCACAATACGAACAACAAATGTTTATGCCTGAGTTCACTTCCATCAGTAAAAAACAGAAAACTGATTTAGTGCTTGTTGGGGCACTCCCAAGTAGCTTGGAAACTGAAGTTCATTCTGTAATGATGTACACATGGATGTACTTCCAGAACTGACTGAATGCATTGTCTGTCACATTATCCAATAGCCGACGCCTTTCGCTCGTTGCGCTGAATATTGGCAGCCGCCGAAGCTTGGATTCATTGGCTAATGAATATGCGCTACGTGGATACTGCCGTCGAGGTGTCCAAAGAGCATTAGAAATTTCGGCTCGGGTCGGGTGGGGCAATCCACTTGCTGTGACAGTGACAGGGGTGAATCCTCCACGTCATCATGAAGTGCAATACAACCCTCATGACGACGTTTCGGCAACACATTTGCCTGATGCGAAGCTCGCCGTCCTTTTCGCAGAGGGTACTGTGGGGACATTTGGCTCTGTGGACGTCGCAGGGACGGGTCTCGCAAGCACGTGATTCGCCCTGAATTACCCGATAAGCCTGTTACGCCCCCTCACGCGTGGCAAACATCCTCAAAGCCGCGTCGACAGGGACATCCCCCTGAACTCGCCACGTCATTAATATACTACACAAATGAGCCACGTCATTGTCATTCTGCTTGCGTGATGGGAACTCCACTATCCCCATAAGCATTGGGAGGATGGGCCTGGAGATTGCCTGGCTGAACCCTGATCAGAAATTTCGGATTACACTGGGAACTCCGCACAGCTCATCAGCCACAGCACCACTCCAAGCAGGATTCAGGAACCAGGCTCAGCAATTGCTGGCGAAGGGGTAGAATCCATGAGCCCTGAGTTTCTGAGTCCTGACTCTGACTCGTTAGGGCCAACCATGGGTGCATGATTGCACAGTCACCATCATACGTGCGCCTTCACCGCCATCATCCATCTGCTAGTTTCAGGAATCAGGAACTGAAGTTCCGCAGAAGCAGCAGCAGCAATTGTTGAGCCACCTCGTGTTCCCCAAACCAGCAGGTCAATAGTGACTGAATAGCAAGCAGCAGACTAGCATTACACAAAGTTGTTATCTACGTGTTCACTAGCTGAATCTTGGGTGTAGTTCGAGTCGTTTCAGCCTCTCTCAGCCGCGAAGGCGAATGATATTTTATTTTCAACAGGACGAATTGAAGCTTCATTAGCTTTCCTGCGCGTTCTGTGGCGCCAACGAATCATCTTTGTTGTATACTCGTCATCACCCTTGCGAATTAATTACAACAGCTATTGTGTAGTGTTACGACCTGTCTGAACGGTTCATTGCTCTGCATTTCGGTCAGAGGCTGGTTCGCCTTGCCTTTTTAAATGCGTGCTGTGAGAATCTTTTGAAGTGAATAGCTATGGCCAAGGGAGCAGCCAAGTCCAAGGGTCATAAATCCCGGTCTGAGAAGAAAAAGAAAGAAGAAAAAGGTAAGTCAGCGCAAAGACGCCTCAGAGTGTGGATGATTGAATGATTGTGTCAAAACTGAGGGAATTTTTTCACCAAGATTGTCACCGAACCTTTCTACAATCCAAAACACTGGCGTAACCTGGCTGCTTCCAATGAACTCTGTCATAATCTGTATTTTCATTTTTCACTGGTTCCAATCCAATGCAGTGATTCCCACGGTTCTAGACATAGTGGTCAACGTCCCAGGAGGAAAGCAGATTCTGCTCAAGGTTAGTCCCTAAGTTCTATCAAGATTGTAACAAATCACTCGATGACCTAAGCAACATCTAGTCGGAGTTTCTGTCACTGACAGCTGATCTCCCAAGCCGGCTAACCAGCACCAAGCGCTGAAGTCGAAAGAGGGTACCTTATCCTTTCTTCAACCCGACCCTGCTACAGGGAATATCAACAGACCGCATATGGGACGTTCGACGGCTCCTGGCCGTACACGTGGACACATGCCACTTCACCAACTTCTCCCTCGCACACGAGGTGCGTTCTATTTACGAGTGCCTTATGTTCCTCTCTCCTCCTCCCTATGAACTTCACAGGTGGAGTTCAATCCTCTGCGCTGCTGCAAGGCTTTACTCCTCTATAATTGATTCGTTACAAATTTGTTGTTCTCACGGATTTGCTATCCTCATAAGCTGTAGCTAACTAGCTGGTCCTTCTCCGACGCCATCGTGTCCCTTGCATGTCAGTGCCATATTTCCCAGCCACCACAACTTGTTTCACTGTGCCACCTCCCGGCGAGTGCAGGTCCGCGGTCCTCATCTGCGTGACTCCGTGGATGTGGTAGCACTGAAGCCTTGCGTCCTTGACCTTGTTCAAGGTGAGAACACGTGCCTTTTGGTCCATCTCCCCCACCCCCCCCCCCCCCTGCGTGCCTTACAATACCTGGAAGTACTGCAGAAGCTATGTGGCCCAACCCCTGCTCACCTTTTTTTTCCTCATCCCTCAAACGTCCTGCGTGTCCCCGGGCTACTCTGCGGTCTCTTCTCTCCTCCTCCCTTGCTAGACGCATTAGCACGCTAGACTTCCACATCCTTTTCCTCGGGCGTGAAGTGAATGTGTGACTGGCAACAAGAAAAATAACCAAGTGCCGCACAAGAACCTGAACTTCTTCCCTTGCGCTCCAAACACAAGCTAGTCCTAAACTGTCAGCTTCTGTCCCTCCCCCTTCCCTTGGCCATACCCCACCAGTACATAGGGACATCCGTCACAGCCCACACTTGCAGACTGCTGGACTCTTGTCTCCTGCACTGTCGCCTTCCTGTCTGAGCCGCCTCCCACTAACTGGACCCGCTGTTCCACATCTTTAACTGGCACTCTTCTCTGGACCCCCTCCCTTCCTCCCTGCCCAACCCTATGGTGATTCCTTGTTATGCAGAGTACACGGAGGTAACAGCCAAGGCCCTCATCCGCTGTCTGGTGTTGACATCGTGTCCTCATCCCTTGACTGGCGCTCAGCTCTGTATTCCCCTCCCTTCCGCCCTGCTCAACTCTATGGTGATTCCCCATTATGCAGAGGAGTACACGGAGGCATCTTCCAAGGCCCACATCCGCCGGCTGCTTGACATCGTGTCCTGCACTCTCGCCTTTGGACCCTCAACCAAGCAACGCGAGGAGGCTGAAGCAGCTGCTGCAGCAGAAGCAGCAGAAGCAGCAGAAGCAGCGCCGTCTGCCTCTGCAGCTGCAGCAGCATCTGCACTGACGTCCGGTTCCCCTCACCAAGGCAGCAATGCTGGTCCGGCAGAAACCGAGCCTACAAACCCAGGCGGTGCTGACTCAGCCCTGGTCCCCTTCCATGAACCACCTCCCGAGGCGAGCAGCAGCGTGGCGGAATTCGGTAAAGTGCTGGGGTTGGGGGACGTGGGAAGCTTCCTCAAGAAGAAGCCGGGCGAAGCAGCAAGCGCGGGGGGGGACCAGGCAGGGACTCAGGGGGCAGGAGGAAGGGACGTGGCGGTGGCAGGAGCAGAAGGTGCGCAAAAGCCGGGGAAAGAGCTGCAAAAGGTGGGAAAGGAGGCGGGGAAAGATTTAGAGAAGGAGGCGGGGATAGAGGTGGGGAAGGACCTGTTTGTGACGGGCGCGGATGGCAAGCGGCGGTTTAAGGGGAAGAGGGAGGCGGTGGAGGCTATGGCGGCGGCAGCAGCGGCCACAGAGAAGGGCGACATGACAGGGATGTTCCCTGAGGAGTCGAAGCTAGGGGATTTTTACGAGTTTCTGTCTGCTGCTCACCTCACTCCGCCCATTCAAGGTGAGCCCCTTGGTTTTCCTGCTGTGAAAACAATCTCCTGAAAACATTCTTCCTGCTACTGCTGCTACTGTTCCTTGACGCTCCTGAGTTCTCTTAGGCAGTGAAGCCTCTACCTCATGCCTGCTTGACTCCCTGGCTACGCATGAGCTTGAGGGGATGCGTCAGCCTGATACACTTGCCCAATGCTGGGCACGCACGGCCACCTCACCTCACCTCACCTCATTCTGTTTCTCCCCACGCCCCATCTTCAATCCGCCACAGCCATCCGCAGGTCCCTGCGCGGGTCCGCCAAGGGCAAGGGGGCAGAGAAAAGCGGCGCACAGGACATGCCGGATATGGGCACTGAGCTCTTCCCCATAGAGGTGCGTGGGCGTCTTATTGAAGCCAGTATGATCCACATGCACCCTCGTCTCCTCTCGTTGCCTGTCTTCCCCAGCCGACATGTCACTGCCTCCCTCCTCCTCGTTCCCCCCCTACTTCCCTTCCCTCTTTCCCCCTCCGCCACAAGGAAACCGATCTTTGGTTCTGAGGTAACTGACCTCGTGCTGCTTCCCTCTTGCTGCTTGCCTCCTGCTGCTTGCCACTCGCCTCTTGACTCTTTCCTCCTGCTTGCTGCCGAGCGGACTGCAGGTGCGGCTGTGCACGGGGAAGACGGTGCTGGTGGTTGCCACCAACCAGGGATTCCTGTGCCCCAGGAACAGGCTGCACGCGCCCACACTCGTGGGCCTTTTTTTTTTTTGAGTTGATTGTAGAATCTCCCCTCTTGCATGTTGCCAACTGCAGGTGCGGCTGTGCACAGGCAAGACAGTGCTGGTGGTTGCCACCACACAGGGGTTCTTGTGTCCCAGGAACAGGCTGCACGCGCCCACACTCGTGGGCCTTCTGTGCCTCATTGTTTAGTTGACTAAAATATAATGTTTCCTGCTTGCTGCCGAGCGGACTGCAGGTGCGGCTGTGCACGGGGAAGACGGTGCTGGTGGTTGCCACCACCCAGGGATTCCTGTGCCCCAGGAACAGGCTGCACGCACCCACACTCGTGGGCCTTCTGCGCCTCATGAGCAAGCCCTTCGCCAAGGTGGGCAAAGGCTCAGAGCCGCTGCAGGATTCACGTTGCCTGTGTGACGAGTGAGGGCCTCGGTGGCTGTTGTACAAACCAGATGAATGTTCGAACTCCTATATAAGGCCCTGTTGTCCAGTGTAAGCCCTGTCTTTATTGAACTCTCTACTTCCCTCTCTTCCTTCCTGTGTCGCAGGCCTATGACGACTTGCTTGCTCTCTTTCTGGAAAGAAACAAGGTACGCTGACCTCACTGGTTTGTTTCCCAGCACTAGTACCATGTTGACAATTTGTGCATAGCTGTTTGCTTCACAAACATCGCTTCTGTTTTTATGTGTGAGTAGGACTGCTAATCAAGTTTCATCCCGCCCAATTTTTGCTTTTCCTCTCCGTGGCAGTTTGGCAACACACCCTACGGTTTCAGGTCCAACACGTGGGTTGTCCCTCCGCTTGCGGCTGCCAATCCATCCTCCTTCCCCCAGCTCCCCATGGAAGATGATGCTTGGGGAGGGAACGGTGGCGGTCATGGCTGGCAGGAGGAGCAGGAGGAACAAGAGGAGCAGGAGAGAAGGGAAACGAACTCAAGGGCGAGGGCAGTAGCAAGCAGGGACTGGGCGAGGGACTTTGCAGTGCTCTCTCTCCTCCCCTTTGACACTCCTGAGGAGCGTGTGGTGAGGGATCGCAAGGTGTTCCTCCTGCATTCCGTCTTTGTGGACACGGCAACTCGCAAAGCCGTCACTGCCATCAACACTGCTGCTGCGGCGGCGGCGGCAGCAGCTTCTGGGGGGGCGGCAGCAGCTGCTGGGACCGTCACGGGTACCCCAGCCGAGGACGTGTCGCTGAGTCGGGCTTCTGCCGAGCCTGGATTGCCGGGCTCAGTAGCAGCGGTGGAAAAAGGGCTTCTGCTGGTGGAGCAGCAGGGGGGGATGCGTGTGACTGTAATGAAGGGCGAGGAGGACCCGAGTGGGAAGGTGCTGTCGAAAGTGGAGGTGGGGTGGAGGAGGGTGGCGGAGGGGGAGAGGGAGGAGGAGAAGGAGTGCATGGTAACGAAGAGCCTTTTGAAGGGGATTTCTGCTGATGAAAGCACGGCAGTGCATGTGAGTGGGCTCCCTTTTCTACCCTGAGCCCGTTGACCCTCTCTCAAATCCCTTCACTCCCCTCATAGCCAACATCTCCCAACACTTTTTTATTTCTGTGCAACCCCTGACTGACCTCACAACCCGAGTTGCAGTCCTGAGTTCTGACGTCTCCCACCAGTGTCAGCCTTTCTGCCTCTCCCATCCATGCTCGCAACAATAAACAAAGCACACTGCCTCGGCTCGGTTTTACGCATAAACGCCCATTGTGGTTCCCTGAGATCGAACCATCAGAGGCAGCTCCAGGCGGTCCAAGACCATGAGTTCTGACGTCCCACCAGTGTCAGCCTTTGTGCCTCTCTCATCCATGCTCGCAACACCCTCATCCCTCACTGTCCGTTTTCCTCTCCCCTCCCCACAAACAACACTGGACCTAGAATCCCTGGGCACAGTCATCATTCACCTGCAAGACCTCACTGTTCAAATGACAGTGCTTCGGAATACTCTCTCCTCCTCCACCGTCCAGCTACCATACTCTCCTCTCTCCCCTCTATGCCGTTCCCCCACCCACACAGGACCTAGAGTCCCTGGGCACAGTCATTGTTCACTTGCACGGCCTCACAGCGCGAGTGACTGTCCCTGACGCCCCTGCTCGCGCCCAGACGCTCCAGGCGCAGCTGCAGGCGCTGCGAGAGAAGAAGGCGGATAGAGATGGCAAGGAGGGCAGGACGGGCGGATTGGCAGAGGATGGGGAGGAGAAAGGGGCTGGCGAAGGAGGTGGTGGGGTACGTGCAAGGGAGAGAGAGAGGGTGGTGGAGCGAAAGTCTGAAAGGGAGGAGGAACGGAAGGAGGAGGAGAAGGAAGGGGAGGAGAGGTTGTTGGAGCTGGATGTTCCAGAGCAGGAGGAAGCAGGCGCCAATGCACTGAACGCCAACAGGTGAGGCATGGTGCAAGCCTGATAATATTCAAAATCAGGCACAAAAAGTAGGGTTTAAATAATCAATATTGTTGCTGTGTATCTTGGAATACTCAAGGGCCCCTCCCATAGCATCCCTGTACACATATTTGCCACCCTGCTTCCTCGTCTCATTGGCATGCCCATATCCCAACAGTCGCCGTGTTCCACAAATGCACCTCATATTCGTTAATAGCTAGCTCGTACAGACTTGAACGCTCTCAACCTGCACTTGCTTCATGGCTCACCAATGTAAACCTCTCACAGCACACACACGTTATCGGTCAGTCAGTCACCTGTGAACCGCCAATCTCCTCCTCTTGTGCTGCAGCCTTCGGATCCCCCTGCATGCCCCAACACGTAGCCCTGCATCGAGCAGCACCACCACAAGCAACACTACCACGAGTGTCCCCGCCACTTCTCCTGCTCCAGCTGCTGCTGCTGCTGCAACTCTGCGTCAGGTGCTGTCCATTGGGCTGGGCCGTCTGCAGCAGGAGGAGGAAGCCCAGGAGAGGCAGCGGATGGCTAGGAAGAGTGCCTTAGCGGAGAAGCTTGTGGGGCAGGATGTAGTGGCGGAGGGAGGGAAGGGAGTGGAGGAAGGGGTGATGGTGGTGAAGGGTGAGGCAGCTGGGGCCACAGAAGTTGGCGAAGAGGGTGCAACGGGTGAAAAGGGTGTAGGGGTGATGGGGGTGGGGGACGGAGCAGCGGCAGAGGCGGCTGGGGAGGTGAAAAAAGTACAAGTGGGTGAGGCGGAGAAAAAGGGTGTGAAGGAGGGGGAGGAGAAGGAGGGGGGGGGGGGGAGGGGGAGGAGGAAGAGGAGGATGTGTTTGGGGATGGTATTCTGAGGTGGGAGCTGGGGGCGTGCTGGGTGCAGCACCTGCAGAACCCACCCAAGGAGGAGGAGAAGAGCGCAGAGAGTGGTGAGAAGAAGGATACAGCAGGTGGGGCTCAGGGGGGAGAAGTCAAGGAGAAGGATGACGGTGTGAAGGCAGGTAGTGGAGGAAAAGAGGGGGGAGCGGAGGGAGCAAAGAGTGGGAGTGTTGCAGCAGAGGCAGGAGCAGGTGCTGCAGCTGCAGCTGCAGCTGCCACTACTGCTGATGCTAACACGTCTGCTTCCACTACAGGAGCTGTTCTCCCTGCGACTGCTGGTGCGGGTGAGGGGGAGGCACCAGTTGGGATGCAAGAGGAGCCCTTGGCAGCAGGCAGGGAAGGGGATGAGCTGCTGGAGTTGCTGGGTGAGAGCAAGTATGAGAAGCTCAAGAAGGCGGACGTGGGGCTGCATGCTATGGTGAGCCGCCCTGCTGCCTTCCTCTGTCCTGAGCGTGATGATATATTTTCTTTAGATGTCCCACAAACGGGGAGAGCTGCTGCAGCTGCTGGCCGAGAAAAGGTGTGGGAAGCTCAAGAAGGCACACGTTGGGCTGCATGACATGGTGACCCGCCCTGCTGCTTCTCTCCCTCTCTAGTGGCCTGCGCGCTTGAGCCAGCCTCGTCTCTGGGCTCTGTGGCTCCGGATGGAGTGGCTGCATGCTGCGTGGCACGCACAACGTGCTTGGAACTATCTCTGCCCTCCAACCCATTGACCCACAGCTGCCCTCTAGCCCGTTGGCGTTCTTTAGCATTCTCCTTTCTCTTTCACCTTCCAGTCGTGGCACGTTTTAAAAGTTCCCCCTTCCCTGTACCGTTGTCCACAGACCGTCCAGGCGCTCAAGCAGGGAGCGCGGGACTTCTACAGGAACACTTCCCTCTCTAAGCTGGTAAGCGTTTTGAATCCACCCTATACGCAATAATGATTTGTAGAGCTGGAAACACGCGTCCTATTGCCGCAAGCACCTGGTTGTCCTTTAAAGGCGAGCTTTGAATGCACACTTCTCTTAATTCCTCTCCCCCCCCTCTCCCTGCCTCTCCAGTGTGCCCTCTTGAGGTCGCTAACTTCGCCCTTTTGGACCTCGCCCCTGTGGATGGTTGCACACTCACTGACCCGCGAGCTTCAAACAGCCTCCTTATCTCTTTGCTCCACTCCATCCCCCCTCTCCCCCCTCGCCCCGCCTCTCCTGTGCGCCCTCTCAAGGTCTCTGACTTCGCCTCGCTGGAGCTCTCTCCAGTCGATGGGCGCACACTCACTGATTTCATGCATACCCGCGGCCTGCGCATGCGATCTCTCGGCAAAGTGGTCAGTAGCCCGCACTCCTTTCCAGACCACATGCTGTGCTGTGCTGTTGCTGATTACATTACACCGCCTCCCTCCCCCTTGTGGACGGTCACGCACTCACTGACTCCATGCACACTCCTGTCCTGCGCATGCGATCGCTTGGTTAAGTGGTCAGTAGCCCGCACTCCCCTCCCGTCCACACGCTGTGTTGCGCTTTTGCTGCTTACGTTACTCCCCCTCCTTTACCGTGGATAATCGCATGCACGCTGACTCCATGCACACTCGTGGCATGCGCATGCGATCCCTTAGCAAAGTGGCTAGTATCGCCTGCCCGCTTTACTGCAAGCTCACTGGCTTATTGGCCATATGCCCTGCGGCCCTCTAGTGCATTGGCTATGGATCAGCCAAGGCCGTGTCCCTCGCATTCTCCTTGCTCCTCTGCCTTGTCGGTCCTCCTCACTCTCCCCCTCTCCTCCCTCACCCCCCAAATCTGCTCCGATGTCTCCACCTCCCGTGCCGCCCCAGGCTGCACTAGCAGACAAGCTGCCCCATGTGCGGTCCTTGGCTGTACATGAGATGGTGGCGCGGGCATTAAAGCACGCTATCCAAGCAGTGGTCACCACCACTGCACTCTCCACTGCTGCCGCTGCACCTGCTGCTGCTTCTGCTGGTGCCGGTGCCTCCAGTTCCTTGGTAGCAGCCAGCATAGCTGCTACTTTCAATGCCATCTTTGGGTCGTCCGTGCATAAAAAGGGCGCAACTGCGTTCTCTAACAATGACGGTAGCAAGGGGGAGGACAAGGGAGCGGGGGATGCGGAGGCGTCGCTGGGAGGCATGGTGTGGCAGTGGGTGCGTGTGTTTGCACGAGTGCGGTTTGGCTTCGACCTAGACGATGAGGCGCTGGCGAGTCTGCGCATGCTCTCGCTGCTCAGAGCTCTCTGCCTTAAGGTGGGTTTCTAAGCGCTGGCAGTTCTCTCCCGCAGCTGGGAGGTACATTGTGTTGTCGGGTGGGTGCGTGTGTTTGCGCGAGTGCGGTTTGGCTTCGACCTAGACGATGAGGCGCTGGCAGGTCTGCGCATGCTCTCGCTGCTCAGAGCGCTCTGCCTCAAGGTGGGTCCCTAGGAGCTGGCGGTTTTTGAGTTGACTCGAAATCAAGGTGGGTTTCTAGGAGCTGGCGGATTTTGAGATGACTTGAAAACAAGGTGGGTCCCTAGGAGCTGGCAGTCCTGCTTCTCCCGCAGCTGGGAGGTACATTGTGTTGTCGGGTGGGTGTGTGTGTTTGCGCGTGTGCGGTTCGGCTTTGACCTCGACAATGAGGCGCTAGCAGGTCAGGTCTGCGCATGCTCTCGCTGCTTCGAGCGCTCGGCCTCAAGGTGGGTCGGCGCTAAGCTCAGAACGCTCGGCCTCAAGGTGGGTCGGCGCTAAGCTCAGAACGCTCGGCCTCAAGGTGGGTCGGCGCTAAGCTCAGAACGCTCAGCCTCAAGGTGGGTCGGCGCTAAGCTCAGAACGCTCGGCCTCAAGGTGGGTCGGCGCTAAGCTCAGAACGCTCGGCCTCAAGGTGGGTCGGCGCTAAGCTCAGAACGCTCGGCCTCAAGGTGGGTCGGCGCTAAGCTCAGAACGCTCGGCCTCAAGGTGGGTCGGCGCTAAGCTCAGAACGCTCGGCCTCAAGGTGGGTCGGCGCTAAGCTCAAAACGCTCGGCCTCAAGGTGGGTCGGCGCTAAGCTCAGAACGCTCGGCCTCAATGTGGCCGGGCGGAGTCTCTTGTCCGCCTGCTGCTTCAGCCTCTGCTCCTTCTCTCTCAACATCTCTCACACTCTCTACAATCCACTCTCCCTGTTAGCTTTCATTCGATCCACCCTCCCCTCGCGATCTCAAAACCTACCCTCACCCCCATACACACCTTTCATGCTACTTCTCTTCTCCTTGCCCAAACCCTCCCCCATCCGCCCCCTTTCCCTTCTCCCTCCCCTCTCCCTCTCCTCTTCTCCCAGGTGGGCATTGAGATCTCTCCCAAGTCGTACGACTTCAACTCGCCCACGCCCTTCCACGCCACTGACATCGTCTCCATGGTTCCTGTTCTCAAGGTCAGCTCCTCTTCTTACTACACTCCCCTCCAAGCAGCAGTGGGGGGCTACATTCTCCCCACGCTTTCTCCCTTTTTTGTTTTCATCTCTCAGTCCCTGTGCCTTCCATTTCCGCATACCCTTCCTTCTACCTCCCCGCTTACTAGCCAGCCTCAATCTTCTTCCTTTAATTTTCCAGACGCTCCCCAAACCCTCCTCCAACCAAGCCATCCATTCACTGCAGCACCTGCTGTGCACGTCAGCTGATGCCTGCACTCACTGTTCAGCACTCAACCTCCCCAAACTCTCCCTGAACCATCAACAATCCCCCAAACCCTCCCCCATCCATCCCCACACTGCAGCACGTGCTGTGCACGTCACCTGATGCCTGCACACACTCAGCTTTTCCCGTTTCGATTGTCTTCCAAACCCTCTTCTAATCAAATCATCCCCTCACTGCAGCACGTGCTGTGCACGTCAGCTGATGGTCGCACACTGCTTGAGGCGTCCAAGGCAGCTCTCGACAAGGGCAAGCTCGACGAAGCGGTTTCTTGCGGTACCAAGGTAGGGGAAATCGGTGAGAAGTGGATGAAAGGGCTGGACGAGACGAGGTGACAGTGGTAGACGATGTGGGGTCGCTGCTGGAGACTTCAAAGCTGGGTAAGGCAAGGGCCTGCAGCTTTCTAGCAGTCCTGTGGGAAATGCGAGTGTTTTTGAGACGTCTTGACTTGTGAGTGGACTCAAAAGTCATCTCATTTCCCGTGAATGAATGCAGGGGCCTGCAGCTTTCTACCAGTCCTGCTGTACCACACAGAGGAGAGGAGCATCACATCACAGCGGCCTCCACCAATCCTCTCTTACTTTCTCTCCTGCTTTCCCTCTCCCACGTATAATGTCAGGCCCTAGCGAAGCTGATAGCGGTGTGTGGGGCGTATCACCGCATGACAGCAGGGGCGTACAGCCTGCTTGGCAGTGGTGCTGTACCACACAGGGGACTTCAACCAGGCCACCATCTACCCACCCTCTCCTGCCCTCCCTCCCTGCCTCCCCCCTACCTTCCCTCCTGCCCTCCCTCCTGTCTTCCATCTTGCCTCCCCTGTGCCTCCCCTCCCCCACACACAACTTGCAGGCCCTAGCGAAGCTGATAGCGGTGTGTGGGGCGTACCACCGCATGACATCAGGGGCGTACAGCCTGCTGGCGGTGGTGCTGTACCACACAGGGGACTTTAACCAGGCCACCACCAATCCTCTCCTTCCGTCCCTCCTGCCCTCCCTCATGCCCTCTATCCTGCTCTCCCTCCTGCTCTCCCTCCCTCACACACAATGGCAGGCCCTGACAAAGCTCATCTCAGTGTGTGGGGCGTATCACCGCATGACAGCAGGGGCGTACAGCCTGCTGGCGGTGGTGCTGTATCACACAGGGGACTTCAACCAGGCCACCATCTACCAGCAGCGCGCTCTCGACATCAACGAGAGAGAGCTGGGGCTGGACCACCCTGACACCATGAAGAGCTACGGCGACCTGGCTGTGTTCTACTATCGATTGCAGCACACGGAACTCGCAATAAGGTGGGTGCCATTAGGTTGTCTTGACTGCACGCACAGTGCATGCATGTGATGCATGTGCTCTCGGCTCGGGTACCTAGGTCGTGGTTATAGCTGGGGCTGGACCACCCCGAAACCATGAAGAGCCATGGCGACCTGGCTGTGTTTTACTACTGCCTTCAGCACACAGAGCTGGCCATCAGGTGGGTGTGTGTACCCAGTGCATGCATGTGATGTGATACATATGCTCTCTCTCGGAGGTACCGCAGTCAGCGAGGGAGCTGGGGCTGGACCACCCGGACACCATGAAGTGCTACGGCGACCTGGCGGTGTTTTACTACCGCCTCCAGCACACAGAGCTGGCCATCAGGTGATTTTCTTGCAGCAACTTGGTTATAAGGTGGGTGTGTTTAGTGGGGTGAGGTGGGTAGCTTCATGTCCTCAGCTGTTCGTGCGGTGGGTGGGTGCCTTACCTCCTCCCTCCTCCCTTTCCCCCATCCCCCTTCCACCCCCTCCCCCCCCCCAGGTACGTGCAGCGGGCGCTGTACCTGCTGCACCTCACATGCGGCTCGGAGCACCCCAACAGCGCGGCCACATACATCAACATGGCCATGATGCTGCACGGCCTCTCCCAGCTCCACCTCGCCCTGCGCTACCTGCACCGCGCGCTGCGCTGCAACCACCGCCTGCTGGGCCCCGACCACATCCAGACAGCCGCGAGTTATCACGCAATCGCCATCGCGCTCTCTCTCATGGACGCGTACGCGCTGTCAGTGCAGCACGAGCAGACCACGCTCAACATCCTGCAGGCGAAACTGGGCCCTGACGACCTGAGAACCCTGGTGAGTCAGGAAGATTTTTCAGGCGCCTTAGAAGGCAGGCCATGCTGAACATTCTGCAGGCGAAGCTCGTCCCTGATGATCTCAGGACGTTGGTGAGTTGTCCCCTTTGTTCTCCTGGCTCGGCCGTGTTTTCATGTGAATGGGAGAGCACTGATATGAGGTGCTTTTTTTATGGACACGGCCGCATGGCTGGAGTAGTTTGAGTTGAAAGCAAGGCAGCAAGCGTCAGCCTCATCTCTTACGAACCTCTCACCCTCACTCTCACCCTCCCCTTCTCTCCCCCCTCCCCCCCCTCCCTCCCTCCCCCTTCTCAGAACGCGGCGGCATGGCTGGTGAGAGCAAGGCAGCGGAACAGCCTCATCTCTCAAAAACCCCTCAACCTCTCTCTATAATGCCCCCCTCCCCCCCACTCTCCCAGGACGCGGCGGCATGGCTGGAGTACTTTGAGAGCAAGGCAGCGGAGCAGCAGGAGGCAGCCCGCACAGGAACGCCCAAGCCAGACGCCACCATCGCGTCGAAAGGGCACCTCAGGTGAGAGAGAGGAGAGGGTGAGAGGGGGGCGCTGAGCTGATAAGGCACTGACATGAGAGCAGCAGGAGGCAGCCCGCACAGGAACGCCCAAGCCAGACGCCACCATCGCGTCGAAAGGGCACCTCAGGTGAGAGAGAGGAGAGGGTGAGAGGGGGGCGCTGAGCTGATAAGGCACTGACATGGGAGCAGCAGGAGGCAGCCCGCACAGGCACGCCCAAGCCAGACGCCACCATTGCATCTAAAGGGCACCTCAGGTGAGACAGCTGATGTGAGACGCATGCGCATGAGAGCAAGAGTCCCTACTTTCCTTCTCTTCCCCTCTCACCTCCTTCGCCTCACACCTCTCATCCCCTCTCACCTCTCTTCCCCCCTCTTTCTTCCCCTTTTATCTTCTCCCCATCACCACCCAGCGTGTCGGACCTGCTGTCATTCATCAACGACAAGGAGCAGGAGCGGCTGTCTAACCTTTTCTATTCATCACCCTCTCATTCTTCTCCTTTCCTCTCTCTTTCTTTCTTTCTCTTCTTCCTCCTCCCCATCACCACCCAGCGTGTCGGACCTGCTCTCCTTCATCAACAACAAGAAGCAGGGGCAAGGGGGGGCATCTTACCTCTCCTAAGAATCATCTTCTCTTGCTTTCTCTCTCTTTCCCTTCCCATGCACCGCCCAGCGTGTCGGACCTGCTCTCATTCATCAACGACGAGGAGCAGGGGCGGAGGGAGGTGATTCAGGAGATCATGCGCAAGCGAGGCCGACGCCCCTTGCTCAAGGTATGTACACGAGGCACAGACGCCCCTTGCTCAAGGTACGTACACGAGGCACTGACGCCCCTTGCTCAAGGTACAATGCTTGTGCCTTGACATGTATGCGTAGCTTAACATGTTTGTTTTTGCTTTTTCTTAATTCTTCAAGAGTTATGTTGCCTTGGTGATCTCCCCCGCTGCCTCCCTTACGGTCCTTGCCTTGGTGATCACTCCCTCCCTTTTTATCCCCTCCTCCCCGTCCTTCCCCCACAATCCCTCCTCCACCCCTTTTCCCTCACTTCCTCCCCTCCCCCTCCCCTTCCGTCTCCCCTGCTCCCCCATTTCCCCCTTTCCCCCATTCCGCTTCCTTCGTTTCCCCCTCCCCCCTCTCATCTTGTCTTTCAGTCCAAGGGCGATCGCCTCATAGCAGCAGCGCCACACAACACTGCCACCGGTGGAGAAGAAACAGCAGAGAAAACGAGCTCAGGACTGGTTGAGGCTTCCACCACTTCATTCCCCCCTTTTCCCCCCTCCCCCCGTTCTCCCCTCTCATCTTGTCTTTCAGTCCAAGGGCGATCGCCTCATAGCAGCAGCCACCGGTGGAGAAGAAACAGCAGAGAAAACGAGCTCAGGACTGGTTGAGGCTTCTACTGGCGAAGTTCCTGCCTCTGGAGGTGCTAATAACGAGGTCACTGACAGTGTCCCTGCTCCTGCAGCAGCACAAGCAGTAGCAGCTGCAGCACAAGTAGACACCGGGTCAAGGCTGCTTCTCAGTGGTGAAGCAGAAGCAGAAGCAGCAGCAGCTGCTGCTGCTGCTGCTGCTGCTGCTGCTGCTGCCCACGCTCCTTCGTTTGCTGCTGCTGCCGCTGGTGCTGCTGCTTCAGCACCTGCCTCCGCTTCTGCTGCTGCTGGGGCTGCAGCAACCGCAGTTGCAGGTGCTGGTGCTGCAGCCACTGCAGCAACATCTGGGGCTGCAGCAGAGGGGGATGACTCTGACGGATGGCAGACGGCATGCAGCCGCGCTCACAGGCACAGCCACCAGCGCAAGGTGGCAGCTGCTGCTACTGGAGCAGGAGCAGGAGCAGGAGCAGGAGCAGGAGCAGGAGCAGGAGGAGGAGGAGGAGGGATGGTCGTTGGGGGGGTTAAGGCAGCTAGTAGGGGTGTGGTAAGGGGAGGGGATGCTAGGGGCAAACGGGCTGGTCCCAAGCAGCTAGTGCAGGCAGCAGCAACAGCAGCAGCAGGAGGAGGAGCAGCAGCAGCAGCGGCAGCAGTAGGAGGGGGAGGGAGCGTGGCAGGGGAGAGTAGCAGGCAGAAGGTGGGCCCTGGCATTTCGCCTGTCACTCCTGCCCCTGGAGCTGCTTCTTCCCATACGGCAGCTGCTGCCAACGTTGCTGAAGCGATCCCTGCTGCTGCTGCTGCTGCTGCTGCTGCTACTGCTGGCGGTGGTGCTGCAGCTGGGGATGTGAACCCCACGGCCGTGGCCCTAGCAGCACCTGTGCGAGAGGGTGAGAGGAAGAATGCATGGGGTCTGAGTGCAGGCTCCAAGTTACCTGCTTTGGCTGCCAATTCTGCTGCCGCTGCTGCTACGGCTACTCCTACTGGTGATGCTGCTGCTGCCGGTCCTGGCGCTTCTGCTGTTCCTGCCGTTTCTCCTGCTTCTACTCCTGCTAAGGCTGCTCCTGCTGCAGCTTCAGCTATTCCTGCTGCTACTCCGACTGCTGCTCCTGCTGCTACAGCTCGTGTCACGGCCACAACTCCTCCTATCACTGCCCCTACTGCTGCAACAGTTCCTTCTGCAGCCACCGCGGTAACTGCAGCTGCTAAACCTGCTACAGATGCTATGGATGCTACAACTGCTACAGCCACTGCAGCCACTACAGCCACTACAGCTGCTACAGCCATGGTAGCTGCTACAGCCACTGCCGCCACTGCAGCTCCCAAGAGGGCCCCTGTCCCGCCACCAGGCCCCATGACCCGCTCCTGGAAGGAGATCGCTCTTCTGCCACCTGGCAAAACGCCATTGGCTGCTGCACCAGCGGTGCCAGAATCTGCGGCTGGAGTTTCAGCGACAGATGAGAATGGCCCTGCCAGTGCGACCACTGCAGGAGGTACGAGCAGTGGAAGCAGTGACAACCCAGCAACAGCTGTAGCAGCTGTCGCACCTGTAGCAGCTACAGCAGCCAGAGGCAGCTCTGGAGCAGTCACTAGCACGAGCCCCAGTTGTGCTGCAGGTTCTGATGCGGCTGCCAACAGTAAAATCCCTGCTGCTGTCGCTACAAGCACTGCTGTCGGTACGACCAGTGGCGACAAGACCGCTGGAACGACAGGGAGGACGCAGCAAGCGGAGCAGGTGGGAGGGAAGACAAGTCAAGCTGAGGAGAGCGGTGGTTTGGCTGGGAAGAAACCAGTGGGAGAGGAAGTGGCAGCGGGGGTGGGGGTGGTAGGGAAGGCGACTGCTACTGCTGTCACTACTGCTGCTCCTGCGGCGGCTGCTCCTGGTGCTCCTGCTGATTCCGCTGTTGCACCCTCAAGTGGAAAAACGACTGATCCCAACCCCACCAGCACCAACACCAACACCAGCAGCACTGCCAACAGCAGCAGTAGCACTGCAGCAGGCAGCAGCACAGGTTTCAGCAGTGCAGCAGTCACAGCGGCTAATTCTGCCACGTCAGCTTCGGCTCACAGCCCCTCCAAGCTCTCCCCATTGGCTTCACCTTTCCAACCTGCTGCTGGATCCATCACCACCACTACATTAACCAATGCAACCGTGATTTCCGCTGTCTCCCATTCGATTGCACCTGCCGCCACGATTGAGCCTGCGTCGGCTGCTTCGACCTCTAGTGCTGCTTTATCCAGTAATGAACCAGGTAATAGTGAGGCTGCTTCTCCTCCTGCTGCTGTAGATTCCGCAGATATCCCTGCACCAGCTGTTTCAGCAGCTCCAGTAGCAGCACCAGCCGGATCAGAGGAACCAACAGCAGAGACTGTGGCAGCAGCACCTGTCGCAGGAGAGGCTGCAGCAGCAGCTGTAGCAACAGCTCCTGCAGCAGGAGCGCCTGTAACAGCAGCAGCTGTAGCAGCAGCGCCAGTGGCAGCTGGACCGGTGCTACAGCCGTTGATTCCAGTCCCCATGCATCCAATGATGGCCCCTCCACATGGGTACGTGGCACCACCACCAGGTCACTACCCCATGCCATACCCTCATCACCCTTATTATTACCACCCACAGGCCCACCCACACCCTCACTCTCATGTCCACTCGTACCAACAGCAGCAGCAGCAGCAGCAGCAGCAGCAGCCGCAAGACCTGCAGCAGTACGGCCAGCAGCAGCAGCAGCAGCAACGCTACAGCCACCGCTACAACCGCCCGGCATTCATCCCACCCAGGTTCCTGCGCAATGCAGCCGCTACAGCTGCCGCCGCCGCTGCTGCTGCTGCTGCAGGTTCTGGTGCAGCCATGGGAGGCGCACCTAGCATACCTACCATACCTGCTATGCCTGCTATGCCAGTGTACATGCCTGTACACATGCCTGTGCACATGCCACTGGGAGTGCCTGTGCCTGGGGGGGTGCTGATGCCTGTGGGCGGGCCTCTGCCTGTGGGTGCACATGCTCCGGCTGTGGTTATGGCTTCCGCTGTTGCTGATCCATCTGCCTCTCCTGCCGCTGCTGCTGCTCCTGCTGCTCCAGCACCAGCCGTCTCTGATGCCAAGCTGATGCTCTCTGGAGACGATTTCCCTCCTCTGCCCTCTTCTGCTGCTCCTGCTCCTGCTGCTGCAGCTGCAGAGAGTGAGGTATCTGACGGTGCTGCCAGTACTGACCCTGCTGCTTTGGCTGCCCATAGTGGCGTCTCAGCAGATTCTGCGGCACAGGAGGCTGTAACTGCACCTGAGGAAGCACCTGAGGCTCTAACTGCACCCGAGAAAGAACCTGAGGTTATGGCAACCTCTGAGGAAGCAATTGAAGCTGCAATTGCACCTGAGGCAGCACCTGGGGTTATAGCAGCGCCTGAGCCTGAGGAATCAGCTGCACTAGCGATTGTAGCAGTTCCTGTGCATTTAGCAGCACCTGAAGCTGTGGCAGCACCTGAAGCTGTGGCAGCACCTGAAGCTGTGGCAGCACCTGCAGACGTAGCAGCACCTGCAGACGTAGCAGCACCTGCGGTGGATGCATGCTTGGATTCTGATCCACTTGCTGCGGCACCACCATCAGCATCAACAAAAGTGGCAGCAGTGGCAGAATCAGAAGCAGCAGAGCCAGCGACCCCAGCTGCAGAAGCAGCTGAAGCAGTGGCAGCACCTGCTGGCGTGGGCCTGAGCGCACATGCCACACCATACCAACCCACTGCCCCACCATCTGCACTCACCCCACCATCCGCACTCACCCTGCCATCAGCTCCCACCACCATCACACCATCCACTCCTGCTGCTACTGCCCCCACATCCCCTGCCGCCACAGCCCCCACACCTGCTCCAGCTATTAAGCCCATGAATCCTCACGCTCTCGAGTTCGTTCCAGGAAAGAACTGGGGTGCCCTTGGGCCAGCTGCTGCAGCAGCCCATCCTGCTAACTCACAATCCGCAGTGGCAGCAGGAGCAGCAGTGGTGGCAGAAGCAGCAGGAGGAACGGGAGGAGCAAATGTGGTGGGGTGGAGAGCGGTGCTTAGTGGTGGTGTAGGTCCTGGTAACGGGATGGCTGGGGAGGGGACTGCTGGTGGTGTTGCTGGTGGGGCTGCTGGTGGGGCTGCTGGTGGTGCTGCTGGTGGGGCTGCTGGGAAGGTAGGAAGTGGGGAGAAGGCAAAGACACACGGCAAGAGAGGGAAACAGAGCAAGGGGGGCAAGCACGAGCAGCAGTGGGAGCGCAAGGGGAAGAGCGAGCAAGTGGGGGCGGAGGGTAAGGAAGCGAACGAGAATGGAAAGGAAGAGCCAGCACTGGTTAAGGAGAATGGGATTGTGCTACAAAGGGATGCGACAAGAGAGGGCGAGAGGGAGGATAAGGGAAGGGGGAATGAGAAGGTAAGGGAGAGTGAGGAGAAGGGTAGCAAGGATGAGGAGAAGGGTAGCGTTAATGAGGAGAAGGCAAGGGAGAGTGAGGAGGAGGTGATTGAGATTGTGAAGGTGTGTGTTTCCGAGACTGTGGTGTCTGGGGATGGTGGTTGTGACCCTCCCCGGCCCTGCGAGAATGAGAGGGGTGTAGCGGAAGGGAAAGGGGTTGAAAACGATAAGGTAGAGAAGGTACTTGAGGAAGAGACGGAGGAGCAGGAGGATGGACAGGTAATTTCAATGCTCTCTCTGAGCGACTCTGGCAGTGATCCAGAGAGCGAGGAGGTGAAAGAGGGAGAAAGGGGTGATGTGGATGACAAGAATGGAGGGAGTAAGAAGATGGAGGGGAAGGGAGGAAAAGGTGAGCAGGCAAAGGGGAGGCAGGAGGCAGGGAAACCTGGCATGAAAGTGTCGATGTCCTGGGCCGATATGGCTGATGTAATGGATGAGGAGGATAGGGCAGAGACGACCGAGAGGAAGGGAGGGAAGGTTCAGCAGTCGAAGGGACTGCAGGCGGGGAAACCAGGGCTGAAAATGTCAATGTCTTGGGCCGATATGGCTGATTTGATGGATGAAGAGGATAGGGCGGAGGCCGCAGCTGATGCTGCTGCTGTGGATAAGGAGGTGGTGGGGGGAGGCAGGGGAGAGGGCCGGCAGCAGCAGAACCACCGGCAGCATTCGCAGCATCAGCAGAGGAATCATCGGCAGTGGCAGCAGCAGCAGCATACGAAGCATGGGGCAAACAGGGGGAGGGCACAGCACCAGCAGAAACAGGAGGGTCAGCAACAGCAGCAGCAGCAGCAGCAGCAGCAGCAGCAGGGGCAGCGGCAGCAGCAGCAGGGGCAGCAGCAGGGGCAGCGGCAGCAGCAGGAGGGGCAGCAGCCGCATGGGCAGAAGGCAGGGCAGGAGCAGGACGGGCAGAGGGCCGCAGGGAGGAGGCGAGGGACCTCTGTCCCTCGAACCACCTGGGCCCCGAAATCAGTCCAGCAGCCACCTGTGAAGCCTGATCAGGAGCTAGCTGTTGGACCCACAGCCATCTCAGGTGTTTCAGGAGCTTCAGGTGTTTCAGGGGACTCGGGTGTTTCTAATTGTGTGGGAATATTGGGGAATGGCGAGGCACATGCAGCAGCTGTGGCTGCGCTGGGGAGGGGCCAACAGGGGACTGATGGCACTGGTGGTGGGAGGGCAGCAAGAGAGGGGAGGCGGCGCAGTGGGAGGGGTGGGGGGAGAGCTCAGGGCAGGGGCCATGGGGCAGTGGAGGGTGGGGAGCATGCAGCAGCAGGGAGACAGATGAGTGGGTTGCTTGCTGGTGGTGGCGAGGAGGGAGCGCAAGTGGGAGGGAACGGGGAAGAGAAGGGAGAAGAGAAGGGGGAAGAGAAAGGGGAGGGGACAGGGGAGGGGGAGGATGGATTCACAGTGGTGACGCCTAGGAGGAAGAAGCCTCCTCGCAGTGCAGGCCACGGACGACAGGTAGGTGTTCAAAGCGGTGCGGTGCTCTGAGGCTCTGTGAGAGGGTGTGAGGTGGGACATGGTGCTGTGAGATGGCGTGGGGTGCTGCGTGGTGCTGTGAGAGTCTGTGCATTGGAATGCGATGCTACAAGGTGCTAAGTGCTGCTGGTTCCCGATGCTGTATGAGGGGCAATGCAGTGTGCTTTGGTTTATCACAGGCCTTGGAAAGTTGGAATCTACACAGATCCCCAGCCGCTTTTATACCTGTGCCTGACTCTCTGTCTCTCTTTTGTGTCGACCTCTTGCGCAACTCGTTGCCTCCCCTCCATCCACTCTCCTTGCATGCAACAGGGACCGCACAGGCAGAACCAGCACCAGCACCAGCACCCGCACCAGCATCAGCAGCGGCTGCACCAGCAGCATCAGAATGGCGGGAACGGCACAGCTGATGCTAGCACACAACCAGGGAGCATGGCAAATGGCAATGGCATTGAGAGTTTCAACAGCCATGGCAGTGCCCCTGACAGCAGCAGCGAGAGCAGCAAGCACCCTCATCCAAACCCCCACCCCCACCCCCACCACCATCATCAGCATCATCACCGTCGGCGCAATCACCAGCGTCGTGGGGGTAAGGCAGCAGGAGAAGCAGCAGGAGGGGAGGGGGGGGCAGCAGGTGCAGGTGGAGCGAGGGGAGGAGCAGGGCAGGCAGCAGCAGGTACAGCCACAGCCACGGCTGCTGCTACTGCTACAGCAGCAGCAACAAGAGGAGCAGCAGCATCAGCACCAATCCCTGCTGCTGCGTGAAGCTTGCAGCTACCACCAAGAATAATGTGTGGTAGATAGTAGTGTTTTTTTTTTCTCCTTTTGTGTCTTTATCCATTCTTATAAATGCTTGTCTCTGGTACCCTTCTCTTTGATTTCATCGTTTGTCCAGCTTTGTCCTTCTTAGTTGATCTTTCTCCTGTTCACTTCCAGCCAGCCTGTGAATCCTCCTTCACACATACCGTAAGTAGTCATGTGGAAGTGAAAAAAAGTGATATCATAACCACATGTGGTAAGAAAACTGGCGCCTTGCACTGTTTGAGCTATGCATAGAGGCATTATCCAGCTTCTGTGATTTATTTTCTAGGCGCCTCAAATATGCCTCCCACCATCTGAGCAATGCACAGCGGTGCTATCTGTCAAATGTTGTAGCCTGTAGTGAGGTTTGTCTTAGGGGGTACAGAAGTTAGGGTTTGTCATATGTACCCCAACCAACATCAATGAAAACACCATTCCTCATTCTGACATGGTATCAGCTAGGTTAGGATCCTGTGGGATCCCGTTCCTCCGTTCTCCGTTCGTACCTCCCGAGCCTGATCCTACCTCTCGTTCGTACCAGTTCCGTTGTTACCGAGCCTAGCGCCCTTTCCCCCGTCGCTTAGCGCCCTTTCTCCCCGTCGCCTAGCGCCCCCCCCCCCCCCCCCCCCCCCCCCCCCCCGTCGCGTCGCGCCCTTCCCCCCCCCCCCCGTCACGCCCTTTCCCCCCGTCGCGTCGCGCCCGTTCCCCCCGTCGCGTCGTGCCCGCCTGTTCCCCCCCCGTCCCGTCGCCCTGTCCCGTCGCGTCGCCCTACCCCGTCCCGTCGCCCTGTCCCGTCCCGTCGCCCTGTCCCGTCGCGTCGCCCTACCCCGTCGCGTCGCCCTGCCCCGTCCCGTCGCCCTGCCCCGTCGCGTCGCCCTGTCCCGTCGCGTCGCCCTGCCCCGTCGCGTCGCTCCCGCCCTTTCCCCCGTCGCGTCGCCCTGCCCTACGCCCTGGCCCGTCGCCCTGCCCTAAGCCCTGGCCCGTCGCCCTACCCTAGGCCCTGGCCCGTCGCCCTCCCTAAGTCCTGGCCCGTCGCCCTACCCTAGGCCCTGGCCCGTCGCCCTACCCTAGGCCCTGGCCCGTCGCCCTACCCTAGGCCCTGGCCCGTCGCCCTCCCTACGCCCTGGCCCGTCGCCCTACCCTAGGCTCTGGCCCGTTGCCCTCCCTAAGCCCTGGCCCGTCGCCCTACCCTAGGCCCTGGCCCGTTGCCCTACCCTACGTCCTGGCCCGTCGCTCTAGCCCGCTCTTCCGCTGCGACTGAGTCCTCTTCCCCCCCGGTTGTTACTCGCCTGTTCGTTCGCTTTAGTCCTCACTATGGCGACTCCGCGAGTTCTTCGTTTCGACGCTGACGGTAGACCCCTTGACTTTTCCGTCTGGCTTCTTCGCGCTCGCCGTCTGTTAGAGAGTCAGGTCCAGGGGGGCGAGACCCTCTGGTCACACGCTACTGGTGACCTCCTTGAGCCCCCCGAGCCTACAGCTTTAGGCCATGCTCCTGACGACGCTGCTACGGCTCGCTTTGCCCGTCAGCGCGCTGACCGGACGGCTTGGACGTCGCGTGACGCTGCGGCCTGCATCGCACTCAGCAGCCTCCTCCCTGAGTCCGAGGAGGTCCACTTTACTCAGGTTCGCACCGCTGCTGCGTACCTCACTGCGATTAAGGCCCGCTACTCTACTCCCGCTACTGTCTCTCTTGGCCGTCTTTTCCTCCCGTTCCTGTTTCCTGATCTTGCCTCGTTTGAGCGCTCTGCTGACTTGATCGCTCACCTCCGCTCGCTTGACGCTAGTTACCGCGCTGCTTGCACTGAGGCACAGCTTGCACTGCTTCCTCCCCCCATGGCGATCACTGTCTATTTCATCGCCACTAGCCTCCCTGACCGCCTTGCCTCCGTTCGTGACGCGCTTCTGCTGAAGCACCCTAGTGAGCTGACTATCGAGGTCCTTGAGTCTGCACTCAAGGACGTCGAGAGCAACCTTCGTTCGGTAGCTGCCGCCTCTGGTACTGTGTCCCCCCCACTCTTCCACGGGTGCACAGTCCCGCAGTTACCCACCTTCACTGCCTCTCTTGCCACTGCCGCTACTGACGCGACTGCGGCTGCTGTTACGACTGCGTCGCGGTCCCGCGGCAGGGGGGGCAAGAAAGGTGGTTCTGGTGGAGGTGGAGGCGGAGGTAGCGGAGGTAGTGGGGGTGCTGTTGCGACTGGGGGTGGTGGGAGTGCAGCGTCTGGAGAGACCCCTCGTGCAGCGGCTGGTGACTCCACTGCACCTGCTGGTGGCGGCGACCCCCGAGCTCGTCAGTCGCCTCCTGTACTGCCGGCCCCGCTAGGTGGAGCAGCGGCGTGGTACCAGCCGCAGCAGCAGCAGCACCCGCAGCCGCAGCAGCAGCAGCAGCAGCAGCAGCACCAGCGGCCGCACCAGCAGCCCCCCCTACTGCCACTGCCCCCGGTTCCCCCCCCCGTTCGGGTCCCCGTGTCTCACCAGGTTGCTTCGTCCCCCCAGGTGTCTGTGTCGTGTCAGGTTCCTACGTCTGTTCCAGTCGCTGCGTCGTGCTCCTGCCGGTCGCTTGCCCACCCCACCGTTCTGTGGCACCACCGGATGGGGCACCCGTCCCTTCCTCGTCTGCGCGCTATGTCTAGTCAGCGTCTTGTCCTAGGCCTCCCACGTGTCTTGCCGTCGCTGCCGCCTTCGCTTGCGCCGCCGTGTCGTCCCTGCGTCGAGGGTAGGCTGCGCGCCACCCCTCACTCCTCCTCCCTTCGTCCGGCCACCGAGCCTTTTGAGACGCTTCACTTGGACGTCTGGGGCCCCGCCCCTCGTCTAGGCCCTGAGCGTGAGCGTTACTTTCTGGTGGTCGTTGACGACTTCTCCCGCTACACCACAGTGTTCCCACTGGCGAAGAAGTCTGAGGTGACTTCTACGCTGATCAGGTGGTTGCTCACCACCGAGGACACTCGTGGTCGTCGTGTCAGCTGTCTCCACTCCGACCGTGGGGGTGAGTTTCGCTCCGGCATTCTCGCTGGATTCTGTCGCGAGCAGGGCATTCGTCAGTCCTGGACGCTTCCAGAGTCCCCACAGCAGAATGGGGTTGCTGAGCGCCGCATAGGCCTGGTCATGGAGATCGCCCGCACCTCCCTAACTCACGCCTGTGCCCCCCATTTTCTGTGGCCCTACGCGGTCAGGTACGCCGCGCACCAGCTGAACCTCTGGCCACGTGTCTCTCGACCAGAGGTTTCACCGACCAGTCTTTGGACAGGGTCCCCTGGTGTTGCGTCGCGGTTTCGTGTCTGGGGGTGCTTGGCTCTTGTCCGCGACACCTCCGCGGACAAGCTCTCGCCTCGTGCCGTCCCCTGTGTCTTCCTTGGTTTCCCTGAGGACTCCTCTGACTTCACCTTTTACCACCCTCCCTCTCACCGGTTCTTTGACTCCCGTGACGTCCGTTTCGAGGAGTCCACTCCGTACTACGTCAGGTACCCCAGTCGAGGTCTCCCGGTTCCTCCTCCCCCCCTCTTCCTGACTGCCGCTCCCCCTCCTGCTCCCCCAGTACAGCCTCCCCCCCCTGGCCCAGCCCCGTCAGGTGTGTCCCAGGCTACCCCTCCTCCTTCGGTAGCCCCTCCGGTACAGCCTCCCTCCCCACAGTCCTCCTCGCAGCGTGCCGCTGGTGCTAGCTCTCGAGAGGTTGGTGCTGCGCCTGTTCCTGTACCGGTTTTTGGTTCTTGGGGTGCTGGAGTTGGAGCTGGTGTTGGAGCTGGAGGTGGAGCTGGAGTAGGCACTGGAGTTTCTGGTTCTGGGGGTGCTGGAGTTGGAGCTGGAGTTTCTGGTTCTGGAGTTGGAGCTGACCCGGTGGGTGCAGAGGACTCTTGTCGTCCGGGAGCCGGTTCTGGCCGCGCGGACTCTGGGGGTGCTCCCTCTGGGGGTGAGGGTGCGCCTGCTTCGGGTTCTGGTGCGCCTGGGTCTGGAGCTGGTGTTAGTGCTGCCTCTGGGGGTGGTGCGCCTGGTTCTTCGGGGGTTGACTCTGGAGCTGCCGCTGCTTCGGACACTACTCCGCCCCCCCACCCCTACCCGACTAGGCACCAGGCTCGTGTTCGCCGTGCGCGTGACGAGCAGCTGGAGTTGGAGAGAGAGGAGAGGGAGTTACAGCGGCTGGCGGAGCAGCAGCAGCAGCTGGACCCGCAGGAGCAGCAGTCCCAGCAGCAGCCGCGTCCGCAGCAGCAGCAGTC